ATAGTATATAACTTAATATAGTCAATATTTTATGTAAAAGTATTCAAATATATGTGATTTAATATATATGATATGTATAATTAATTAATATAATTCCATATTTGCTATATGTAAAAATGTGTAATATATACATTTACTCTATGTAATTCCACATCTGCAGGTAACTTTAGTCCTATTAGGCTGAGATCTTAAACTCTCTTTTAATGTGCTACAAGTATGAAAGTAAATATTTTTGTTTGCATTGCAGGTTTCTGCAAGTGCTTCCAGCTTCTGCGGAGGATGAGAAGCTTTTAGTAGATGTCTTAAGATTTTTAAACAAATTGCTTAGAGAACAGAAATCAAGTTTGGAGTCAGACCATCTAAAGTGGATCCTGAAATCATTGCTTAAAAATGTAAGACTATACCTAAGAAGTTAGCTGTAGACTGTAAGAAATGATATAACTGTGAACTGGTTGGCTGGTCTGTTTCTGGTGAGTTCGTCAAGGAAAAAGACTTCTCTCAACAAAAGCAAGAAATAGCAGATCTTGTGGTATTAATGTCTGCTACTTTGTGGTCAGTGCTACGGTTTTAGTGTTCGGGGAAGTTAACTTTGAACAAGAGTAAATTTCCTTCTCTCCTTTGGTATATGAAATTGCTTGTCCAAACTCAAATATTTGCCAGAAGCAAACAACATCTACCTGTGTGTGTCTTGCTCTGGTATAGTTAACTATGGTAATATGTTTGTATAGAGCCATATAACTATAGTTAGCTATGCATAGCTCTATACAGAATTCTGTATGTACATATAACTATATATACTTATATGGTATGGTTAACTATGTAACTATACATACATATGTGTGTGCATACATATACAGCTGCATTAGGTATGCTTAGCTACATAACTACATATGTATTATCTATGTAACTTAAAGAATGAGGTTCCATATAGGTGTGTTTGGCAAAGAGTTATAAATGAACATTAATCTGTCTTGCATTAAGAACAAGAATTGAAAGTTAAGACAGAAGTTTTTGCTTTCAGTGTGTCCATCACGTAAGTTTTGATTTTAAATGGTTATAATATGTCCAAGTAAAATATTTTTATAAGTACAAGGAAGGTATTACATAAGCGCACAGTTCAGTTGCTGTAGTTAAAATGCACGTATACTATTGAAAGAATGTAATTCTTTTTTTTCCAGTTTTTCTAGACTCCAGTGCTTTCTATTTGAGAGATCTGTTCTATCCAATACTGTTCATTTAAGATGTGTAAAATTGGAAAGTATAAAAACAAAAAAGAAATGAACATCATAAAGCAGTATAAAACAACTTTTATTATATTTGTCAAAATACAATAATTCAATCTTGTTGTATAAAAACAATAGTTAAATGCCAAGGATAAAAGTGATGGCTGCAGTTTTCGAAGTTTGCAAAGTACTGTTTTTCATAAAGCAAGATCATTCATGGCCTTACAAAGGTTATCATACATTAAGTACAGTCTGCATGCACTTGCATTTTCCCAATTTTAAAATACAATCTAAACATTTAGGAAAAAAATGCTAGTAGACTTCATTTCAATTACTTATAGAATTCAGGTACTTCAATTTCTATGGCTAACTGGGAATCCTATAAAATGTTGTAAGTATGGCCCATTCAATATATTCATATAAAATCTTTATATCGAATGATTTGAAGTCTTTCAAGCGGCTGAGACAAGATACATCTTTCTACTACGCGTTCTCTGGTTTTTGTGATCTATTTTTTTATTGCAGATTATTGCTGTGTATAACTTTGACTTTTCTTTCATGCTTCATGCTTTCATGCTTCAAAATACACTGTATCATGGCTTAATGCCAGGAAATTTTAAAGGCCTTAACAGTAGATTCTTTTATGGCGTTTAGTAGATTCAAGATTCAAGTAATTAGTAATTACAGGAATTTTTTACTGTGCTTTTTACAGAAATACTTCTTAGTAAAACGATCATGGAATCTGTGATTTATAATGTGTGTGATTTGCAAGGTTTCAACAGAAAAATGGCTTTAGTGTAGGTATTAAAATAGGATTTAAACAATGGATTATGTGACTGTATTTTTATTCTTTTCTTTTAGAAGCCAAAATCCCTTTTGGGCCTCCTGGTGCGACCAGAATCCCAAGTGCGGGATGAAATAGATCAAATACAGACTGCTGTAAGGCAGAAACTGGATAAAGAACTCATTCGTCTTTTTAACACACTGTTATTTTGTTCCGTGTCACTGACTGACAGGTACAGTGTGAATGGACCTGCCTGTGTAATTCTGACTGGGGATCATAATACCTACTGCTGCTGTATCTCAGTCTGAATTTGAATACAATTACATCATGACTCAATCATTTTAAACTGTAAAAATGGAATATATTCCTCTTGAACTGAAGATCAACATTAGATAGACCTTTTCACAGTAAAATTAGGAAATTAACTAGGAAACTTGGAAGAGTATGTACTAGTGGTCACTTTTTTAGCAAATGTTAATTAAACTGATTGCAGGGAGAAGATGGGCTATTTCTTTTTCACTGCTGGAAATTTGGACAAGCAAATGATAACTTGGTTGATTTTGTAGCATTTATTTATAGCAAAGTAGAACATTGAAATATTTGAAATATCAACAAATGTTTATTTTCATTGAACTCCTTTTTGGCCTAATACAGTATATCAGTGCACATTAGTGATTGTTTAGGACAGCTACTTCCACCATGAAGTTCCAACCTTTTTCTGTCAATCAAGCAAACACAGAAATTAATTTCTATTAGTATTTTTTCTCTGAGTTTCTAATATAACGTCTTCCAACACTAAATCTCTCTGTCCAAGTGTATTCTAAGAGATACTAAAACTGCAGCTTGAGATAATACTTGTTTATTTATGTGCCACAACATAATTGTTTGTAAAGATACTTTCAGAATGTTACCTTCTTAATTCTTCCCACGCAGTTATTAATTTTCTAAAAATTTTGACAGCTGAAAAAGGGAGAATTGTAGAAATCCCTGCTAGTTATATCTCACACTCCTGTATTTTCTATCTACCTGAATTCTAGATCAATGGTATTTTGCAGGAAATATTTTTAAACTTGTCTCTTGAACCAGAACAAACATAAGCGTAGCTACTAAGCTTTGCAGTTCTTCTCGTTATGTTATCCATTGTCTTCAATCTCTCACTCTTTATTTAATATGCTCCTTAATAATTAGAGTTAGATCTCATTTGTCTTTTTTTGATTAAGCAGCCCTTTTATAATCAGATGCAATATTATGCTTTCAGAACCTGGGTGAAGCTAGAAATGTCAAATTTTATTCCATGTTATTCTGTGCATAAGGAAATAGTAACTAATTGAGATGCTGAGACTCATAGACTAACAGTAAGAAGAATGAAGCATTGACCTCTTGTAAAACGATTCATTATAATAGCTTCATTTTGACAGTTGATTTTTTTTGGTTTTTGCAATTAAACCAGAGAGGGCTTGGAACTTGCTGGCTCTTTCAGAACTGAGCTGGCTCTGAAGCTGCTACAATGCTTAAGGTTAACAGATGCACCGCATTTTTACGGACTTCCTTCACTGGAGAGAACATTACGAGGAATGGTTCATGTTACTGCACTTCCAGACTGGAGTACCTATTCTGCTGCAGTTGAACCTGTCATAATTTGTAAGAAATACTTAACAGGTCTTCTTGAGGTAAGTAGCTTATGTTATACCTTAGCTTTTGGTTTAAATGCTTGTAAAGAACTGTGTAACTAATGACATTATAATTTTTAGGATGTACTTTTAGTGAATATCATCACTAGGAATAAGTGTGAGGAAGATGCTTTTTTCTGCTAAGTAAATAACAAAAATACGGAGACTAGATTGAGCAATGTATATCTGTACTTAAGAAGATTGGTTGTATTGTGTGTGCTTTCATCCTCTGTTTAAGAGGTAAATAGATGTGTGTTTTTTAATTAACTGAAATGCTAAGAGGAAAAATCCAAGATACCCTTCCACAGGCAAAATCCATGTGTGAAAGGTGGTCTGGGGGAACAGTAACTTGTTAGGCAGGTTATTAACACAGAGAAAGCACAAAAGAGGTAATTCAAGATGCTGCAGTTTTTGGGAAGCCAAAATTTCATTCTTGTTTTCAGTGTTCTTATTTGTTTGCTAAGTCCATGGGTGTGATAGACAACTAGTTTTTGCTCCTAAAATTACATCTTTTGAGAATTCCAGCTTATTAAAACTGTAGGAAAAGCTTATATCTGGCTTTGTCATTACAGGTATTCAGTAAAGTAGGTACATTTAGAAGTTTTCTTTTTAGTTTCAAATACCAAAATCTATTTGTTGCATTGGTAGAGGCTTGAAAAAGTTTTAAAGTAGTTTTAATTCATTTGTGATTCTGAATGATGTGAATAGCAACCAGATAAGTGTCTGAAAGTTTGTATGCGGACGATAATCATGTTCGTGATGAAAAAAAGATTAGTGCTTTAGGGGGAAGTCTTAACTTGCCAAGATTTATTGAGTAGAAATATTTTAGAGCTATTTGATTAGATGAGTTCTGTGATTTGAAGTCTAAACTAAAAATGGCACCAAGGTTATAGATGTTGTCATGCGAAAGAAAGATTATTACTGGACAAAATCATAATAAATATTATGGAATGAAATCAACTAGTAATGCATAAGCTTTTTGTGCAGAAGAATTACACAGTTTTACTTGGCCTAAATATGAAAGTAAATGTAGGTTTCTTTTTGGGGGGAGGGGAGAAAGTGGGTTTGAAAGAATTCCTGTAGAGTGGGACACTGAAAGAAAGAACAACAGCAAAAATGGAGAGGTTTAAATCACCATGCTTTGGGGAGAAAAATACATCTAGAAGTGGAAGCCTTAAGATTATAATTTTGTAAAAAATATTTTTGGGCATGTTTTATTAAAAGCAGCATGCTTTTTATTTTAACATGTATGGTTAGATGTTTGGTCAGAGAGTTTATTTTGTGTTATGATCCAGTGACCTTTATTTCTGTTCATTAGAATTCGATATAGAAAGCTGATATATTTATTCCAACTCAAATCACAATAAAATATATAAATGATCCTTTTTCTTGAACACAGAATTTTGAAAAGAAATTGTATTTTTAATTCCAAACATAGCATAAAAAACTGGGTACAATAAATGGACTGTTTCCATCAAAAACAAACTTTCAGGTTTCTATTTCAATATTGTACTTATTATTAAGCTCAACTGCATTCTTCATTTGAAGAAGCAAATAAAAAACACTAATCTTTAGAAGTTTAACCATATAGGAAACCATCGCATGACCCATAAATAAATAAATTCTTACAATTCAGCTAAAAATCTGCTATCTTTTTGTGAGTTTAAATTATAATTTAGTAGTGTATAAGACAGTTTGTACTTTACCTGTATACTGCTTACTGTAAAGCTACCATGAACTTGTACCCCACTCCTAGGTCATCTCATCATTTTATGTTGAATGGGGAGGAAATGCTATGTCCTTCATGGGAAAAGGTGTTACAAAAAGCACAGTTCTTTGCTTGCTTCACTTATCTCATGAAATGATGACTCAAGCCAAGGATACGGTGAGTGCATTACAGTTGTCCTTATCTTGTCATTTATGAGGGCTATGCACAGATATATTTTTAACTGCTAAAGTTAAATGATAGATTTTCATATGTGGTGGGAGAAGATGTCTTATATGGCAACAGTTAGTAAAAATTAAAAAAAAAATCTGGTAATCTCATTTGGTATATAATGTTAGATAAATAAATAGGATGGAGTATAGTATACAAGAAAGCTGAAGATTCAGTCCTAGCCTTAGTGAAATTATTCTGCAAATAATTCTGTGTATTTAGAAAGGCCTTCTTTCAGAATAAGGTATAATTTTCTTTTTATAAAAAATGAGAAATCAGGATTCTATGATTCTATGAATAAACTTAAGGATTTATGACATCATTATTTCTTCAGACTTGTACAGATTACAGGCTTTCTAACATATGTTTACACATACATATGTGTATTCTTTCACGTGTGTGTATATAGAGAAGAGCTATGGATGTCATCTATCTGGAGCTCTATAAGGCCTTTGACACAGTCCCCCACAACATCCTTCTCTCTAAACTGGAGAGGTATGGATTTGATGGGTGGACTGTCCGGTGGGTGAGGAATTGGTTGGATGGTCACATCCAGAGGGTAGTGGTCAACGGCTCAATGTCCAGATGGAGATCAGTGACAAGTGATCCATATCCCTCAGGGGTCCATATTGGGACCAGTACTGTTTAATATCTTCATCAATGACATAGACAGTGGGATCGAGTGCACCGTCAGCAAGTTTGCAGGTGACACCAAGCTGAGTGGTGCAGTCGACATGCCTGAGAGATGGGATGCCATGCAGAGGGACCTGGACAAGCTCGAGAAGTGGGCCCGTGTGAACCTCATGAGGCAAAATTTTTAGCAGGGCCTCTTGCGGCAGGACAAGGGGGGATGATTTTAAACTAAAAGAGGGTAGATTTAGACTAGATATAAGGAAGACATTTTTCACTATGGTGAAACATTGGAAGAGGTTGCCCAGAGACGTTGCAGATGCCCCATCCCTGGAAACCTTCAAGGTCAGGTTGGACGGGGCTCTGAGCAACCTGATCTGGTTGAAGATGTCCCTGCCTATGGCAGGGAGGGTGGACTAGATAACATTTAAATGTCCCTTCCAACCCAAGCTATTCTATGATTCTATGACATATATATATATATGTACACATGAAAGAACATACACATACATGAAAGGATGATCGTCTAACTTATAGAAGGAGCTATCTTACTTATTAGCAAAATTCATATCTGTGCTCTGTGTCCATGTGCATATTTTGAGAGCTAAATTTTTGAGAGTTTAGAAGCTGCTTCATCCTGAAGCAGTTAAAGCAAATTCAACAATTTACCGTAATCATTTTGGAGAATTAAAATCTACTCTTGTTAATATCTGTGATAACCACAAGTGAAAACCTTTCAATATGATTAAGTGCACATGTAACTAGAAATAGCAGTATACCTGCTTCTCTAAATTCCAGACGTCTTTTTCTTCAGTTCTGTACTCCTTCTTCAAGATACTAAGTGCTGACAAAGTTTATTAAAATTGCAGGGGGACAGAGTATTAAGTACACTGCAGGAAGACTGCAGCCTCCAAAGAATTAGATCATAAATGCATGGATGAAGGAGTGGACTTGAACTGAGTATTTTATTTTTTATGTCAGTCTTGTAGAATAATATGTATAGTAGAATATGATAGGTGGCATTTTTTTGGGCTATAAATCATAATCTGTGTGTACAACAGTATAACTGTCTAGACTGTACTAATAACTTATATTCTCAAAGAAATTTTAAATCCGGCCATTGTTTTCAATCATGTGGTTTAGTGTCAAATCTTATGGAAAGAGAAATATAAAATTAGCCACCTTCCTCTGTGCAGTGTTATACAAGAAGTATACACTGGAGAACTGTGATTTAAAAAAAAAAAATTAATACTAACTTAAAATGCACAGTCTAATGACTTGAAATTAAAGCTAGTTAAAGCAAATTATTTTTTTGCTCATTAGCAGTATTATGAACCATTATGGTTCTTTGTTATTAAAAGAACTACCTTCTTAAGTCAAACATAAGATCCAGCTCATACTGATGGACAGAATTTACTTACAGATGTTTGTAGGAATACATGAGAAATAGACCATGTACTTAGGGTGTACTAGAATTGCTGCAATGTTTTATTTGTTTGTTATGGTATCATTTCACTGGTTGTGCTTTGCTGACCTATGGTTTGTATTTCGTTTTGTATTTTAATGCCTTCCCTCCCCAAATTTGAAGATTGTAAAATACTGTGCTTTTTGTAATTAGTATTGTGTGTATTGAGAAAATCGATGCAAAATACACTGCTCCAAATGAAACATCAGTCATCTATTGTGTAAAAAATAGACAGGACTGAGGTGATCAGAAGACATATACATACATACATAAAATTTTAGGTGCCATGATTCGTTATGAACTTAATGCATTGTTTGTGCAGTGCCATGGTTAAACCGAGCATTTTGCAGGAATGTTTGTTTTTTTAACAAACTGCTAAAGAGCGCTAAAGAAATTAATTTGCAAAGTCAAGTATGGAATCTGCATCGAATCTGCAGCTAAGTAATATGTGGTAGTCTGCGTGACTTTATTTAATCACGTGGCAGGTGCATGAAGAAAAAGAATGAATTATGATCAAAGAAATAATTGCATATTCTTATTTGGTAGTTTTTTGCACATGCATAAAATAAGAGAGAAAGACAGATATTAATAATAAGCAAAAATAAAAAATATAAGGAGTAAATTCTGAATGGAAATAATTATCCCAGCATTTCAAGTAAAATATTTAGTGTCTCTTTAGCACTGCTGTCCTAATCGTATGAAGAAGACAACACAAATTTAATTTTATTCTTTAGGTGAAGTCAGCAGATTAAATACATGTTTATAGAGGCAGAATCAAAATCTTTTTCCTGGAATATGAGTGTTGTGTGCATTTGAAGTGTTTTAGTATGTAACTGGTAGCTCAGGCTGTTCATAGACTGGCACAGCATTGAAATATTGATAAAATAATTTCTTAATTTTTTTTCTGTTTTCTGATTAGGACTGGATATCTCTTTGGTCTTTGCCTTATGATAACAGTGAAGAACAAGTTCTTTCTCAGCTAGGTCTGGCATGGCTGGTTCCTTTATGGGTAGATAGAGACCCTGAGGTTAGTTAATGCAATGTTAAGTTGATATCTTAGTTTAGCCCTTAAGTATTTGCAAAATGTTTGTTTCATTAATTTATTTAATATTGAAACTACTGTTCTGCATTATTTAAAATGTAACTGACTATATCCTAAATGACAGTAACAATAAAGTAGGGAGAATGTTTCCATATAAACATCTTCTGAGAAATCCTTCCCTACATCTTCTGTCTTCTATGCTTTCATTAGTCACTCATGATCGTGATTCATAGGCAGTTTTCATTGACATTGCTGTTACTTAACTGCAAAGCAGAAACATTTACATGAACTACAAATTTAGAGCAAATGTATTTGATGCAAATCTGTTAAATTATACGAGTTTGCTAAATGGAACTATTTTTAAGTGGTAAAATGTGAAGAATATTGAAGACTATCTTAGTATTTTTAGGTATTCAAAAATCTATTTTTTTAATTGTCATTTTTACATACACATAGTTGTGATTATGAGTAAAGGGCCAGAGAAATATAGGAAAAGAGGTTGTTACTTTTTAAATGATTCCCTAAAGCTCCAGATTCAGTTGGTACAACTTAATAATTTAAAAAATGTGTTCCTAATTACTGTAAGAAATATCACTTTCTGTTGTGCTTATGTGTACTAGGTCAGATTTACAGCACTTGGAATAGGATCAGCTCTTACATCTCTTGAAATAGGATGTATTGCTTTAGCAGAAAGTTGCCAGAACATTTCAGGAGGGCTGTGGGGAACGGTGATAAACATCCTTCTGGACCAATCTGAATGTAGTATGGTACGCAGGGAGGTATGTTTCTTGTGTGCTTCTGCTGTCTCAGATTGTCGAGGTTTTTTTCATTAAGGAAAAAATACTGGGGGGTTTTTTAATTCTATATATCTATTTTCTGATGCTCCACAACACTTACTGCTTTGTAAGTTAAATACTACCTAATTAAAATAAATGTTTAGCTTCTTATTTAGAATTACTTAAGAAGCAACAATTAGAGATGACTAGTGTAAAACCAGAAATGATCTAAACAATACAAGTGAATGTATAAAAATTCCTAAGGCTTACTCCTGCAGACAAATAGGTTGCTAAAGCATAACAAATTAGCCCAGATTTTAATAGCTGTTTTGTTCCATTTATGAACACTTTGGCATGCACTCATCACTGGATCTGTAGTAAATATCTCTTCATTGCAGACATGAGGTAATCTAATTTGCCTAGGCACTAAGGTTTATTTGTGAGAACTGAAAGTTTGTACCCTGGTAGAACAGCACATAGAGCTAGATAATATTATATTTAAACTGTGTACACGTGTTTTGCACCTTTCTGTCAACTCTGGTTGTAAGGTTTTTTTGTTTTCCAATGACTGAGAAAGAACAACTCTGACAAATAGTGAGTTAGTTTCTTCCCAGCTCTGTTGCTCAACTAATTACATATTCCAAAGTAATATTTTGAATTCATTTCTGCAAAATGCTTTTGAGAATGCATGCTTCACTGTTTTATTTAACTTCCAAATCATTTTAGTAGTCTCACAAGAGTCAAATTAATGATAAAAGACTGACAAAATATGGAAAAAGCAGTTTCAATCCACCCACATATACATGTGAAATATTTGTAATGTAAGTTAGAAAAACACACATGCCATGTATTTAGAAAGGAAAATATTTGGAACATATGTGTCTGTGTGTCCCAATGTGTCCCACACGTTGTCCCAATTATTTGATAATAATTTAAAAAAAATACATGAGGAGAATAGAGTGAAGGGTCATAAACAGTTATCCATGTTTTTCTGCTTGGGGTTTTTTCCCCAATACTTCTTGTTACGTAATGCTCATTCAACAGGGTTAACTCTACTGGAACAGTGATGAAAGTATTTTATTAAAAAAAAAATTTGTTTCCTAGTGATTTCTATTCTATCTCTTCCTTGACTTTTTTTCTTACCAGCCTTCTCTTGTGCTATGCCCTAATGACATCTGTCATAGGTGAAGTTTGAGGGGTTTTAGGTTATATCTTTCCAATTTTTTTTTTCCCAACATGAACATGAAAATTCTTTGTGTTTTGACATATGTCTAAAGCAATGGAATAATATATAGACTGTGCTGTTCAATCTGATGTGGTTTTTTTGAACTGTGATGGCTAGATGACAATATTGAGGCTTTCATTTCTTTCAGGCTGCTTTTATTCTACAAAATCTCCTTGTGATTCCAGTTCCTACAGAAGACGTGAAAGATTGTATTTGGCAAGTGAGTGACTATTACATTTGATGAGAAAGGTCCTAGTGTCACAGAGAGACATTATTTGGTATAAAAACTTATGTCAGTATACCTATAAAATACAAACTTTAAAAATTACATGTCTAAGGTGACATTTTTGAAAGAGAAATATATGAATAGACAAATTTCCTTTAAACTTCTAGCAAGATCAAGAAAAGAACCAAAGTTAGCTTGTATATATGTTGCATTTCAGGAATATACTATCTTTGGGCTGCTAGGAAACTTCCTTACTTACATAGTATCATTAACGTTTTAGGATAGAAATTGGTCATTTATTTTACCCACACTTGGAATGCAACATGATTTGAGGTGTATGAGGAAGAAGAAATTCTGAGAATGTGTCTTTATAAAATGTTTTGAAAGAAATACGTAAGTGATGAGGACCAACCCTTTCCAAAGAAAGATGAAGCAGCTTGTTGCTTAAGTCAATTTAAATGCTTCTTAAAAACATACCCCCTTGCTCAAAGCAGGGTGAACTAGAGCATGTTGCTGTCCAAGGGGAGATACTAGAGTTTGGGTTTTGAGTATCTCCAAGGATGGAGACTCCACAACCTCTCTGGGCAACTTGTTCTAATGTTTGACTACCTTCACAGGGAAAAAAAATCTTTCTTAATTTTAAATAGAATTTCCTGTGTTTCAATTTTTGCTCATTGCCTCTTGTCCTGTCACTGGATACCAATGAGAAGAATACATTTCCCTTTACTTTCTCTCATCAGATATTTATACAAACTGGTAAGATCCCCTTGGAGACTTTTCCAGTTCTGATCTTGAGTCAGAACTCATGTTATCTTTAGCAAGTCTGGTTAATTTTACATAAAGATCTTTGGATCTTAGTTCCCTGTTTTTCACTTTTTGTTGCCTTGATACCTGTTCTTTTTGTCCATCTTGCTCCTTCCAGTATGTGAGATCGTACCTATATGAGAAAAATGGTACACTGTATGTTCTTTTTGAATAAATTTGCAGATGCAACCATACCCTGTTTTATCTGTTCCTTTCTGCAAAAATCAAGTTAGTGCTGAAAATAGTGCTCCTATTTTACTAGGATAAGTTATCTATGATTCAGCTGCATCCAAAATCAATTATGCTATTTCTTGCAGAGCTGCATTTTACAGTATGTCTTATCTTTCCTTTACATCTTATCATGAAGAAAGCTGTTCAAGTAATTTTACAGATGTGGTCCTTGTTTCAGTCTTCTTGCTTATTACTTATATTTTATCAATATAAATAGTAATTCTTTCAATTCATAATTTGGAGATTTACAAGAGGCAGCCACTGTAACTTGTCAATATAAACTCTATTGAAAGCTGTTTTTTAGTCTTTTTAAACATTTCAATAACTATGGTGAGGTGACAAAAGTTGAATCCAGTTGCAGAATTCTGGATGAATTCCGGTGCAATTAATAGAAGCTTTGAGTCAATGTGATTCTTATTAAGAAGTGCGATTTAATGGAAATTGCTCATCACTTAATAAGTGTTCATGCTGAAAGATGTTATCAAACAACACTTTATGGTAACTGGTAAATTAAAACTGCTGAAAATACAAACAACAATTAAAATTGTGAGATACCACCAGGATCAAATTCTGTTTTTCAGAGTTACATTTTTTCCCTTGCACTGAATAAGATGGTTTGTTTGTTGACCTTAATGCAAGCAAGTTCAAAGGAGAGCTATAAGTGGATCTGGGTGAATAGTAGGAATAATGTACCATAGCCAAAGTAGAACATTATCATTTTATCTCTTAGGCAAATAGGGCTGGAAAAGCAAAGGCTAATAGAGTTTGTAGGCCGGCTGGAAAAGGAAAGGCTGTTAATAGAGTTTGTAGGCCAGTATCTTCATGGGAATGTCTATAGTGTTGTTGTTTTCTAGTTGATCTGCTAAGGAAATTTTTTGTCATGAGTAAAGTCAACCTGTATAAAGTATTCTAAGACTGCAACATACTGTGTTGTATGAAGATTGCTGAAGTCAGAGCACTTTATGAGTGTAATTGATGAGTAACTCTTTCAGGGCCTCCGTTGTACAATAAAGTGTCTGGCATAGCTTTTTTAGCTTTTTAAACCAGCAAAGAGAATTCTGGATAGTAAAATTTTGACTAAATGTAACAAAATTTCCAAAGTGTGTGTTTGTCATAGTTGATACGGTCTAAGTATATTGCTGAGAGTGTACGAGTACAGTTTTATAATTCATCATAAGCAGTTTACATGAAATACTACATTGTTCTTCAAACTCTTTGTCATATCTGATTCTCCATTAATTGGCATAAAAGGCAAATAGTGAAAATAGTCTGTTTATATATTACAGAACCAAAAAGAATGATCAGTAGCCATCCAAAACTCTAGTTGTAACTTACCTTGTAACACAAAATAGTTTTACTGCTTCTACTTGATCTGTTTGTTGTTTTGTTTTGTTTTCTTGGAACATAAGCTTGTATTCAATGTAAATGGAGGGGTTGGGGGAGATCTAGAGCCTCTTGGGGACAAATAGTGTTTTACAAATTACTTATTTGCAGTTGATCTACCTCTGCTCTCTCCTGACTGCCAAAGAAAGCACTGACAAACTAATTAGCACCGACAAATTTTCTTTCCATAATTTTAACTAGTTTCTTTTTGAAGTACTGCAAGATGCCTCCTAAAACTGCCTTGCAGAATGTAATTGGTTTGAATTTTTCTCAGTCTGGGTTCTTTTGCCAATAACACTTCTAATTTTTATGGTCACTCTAAAACAGGTTATATTGTAGCTTAATAAAACTTCTTGTTTTCTTATGTTACCATAGAAAACACTGGAGAAATACTGTAACAAAGGCAGTCAAATCAAACTGTTTATTTGAAATATGACTATGAAGTCTTTCTTTTCAGCTGTAAATCCACTTCTCTAGAAAGTTTTCCCTGAAGTCAGTATTTAAAAAGAAATGACTGGAAACAATTCTTCAAAGAGAATTTCTTTCTTTTTTACATCATTTTTTCTAAATAAATCTTTTATCATAGTAGATTGACGTGGGTAGATGTAGTATAATGGCAGTATACTTTAGAACAGGATGACCTTTTCAGGATATTTACTCTTATCTTAGTATGAGTGTGCTCTTTTTCTAAAGAAAACTTTTGCATTAGTTGCTATCTGTAAGTAGAATTAAATGAGAAATTAAAATTGTAAAGTCTCCTGATACATACACTGTATTAAAACCATCCAGATATAGCTTTCTGTGGCTTTCTACTTACCTGTTAACAAATTTCTCAGGAGCTAAATAACTACTTCCATTTTGCTAAATCATTACAGTTTTTGTACTATATTATGACTTAGCTCAGCCTTAATAAAATCGACATTTGATTTTTTTTAATCTGTTAGTTACAGCCTGTAAACCATGTATGTGTATACACACATACACAGTATTAGGCTTAATTTGGGGATTTATGACAGTTTATTTTATATAAAAGATTCCTTTAAAGAAATGATCTTTGTGAATTTTATGTCTTCAGGGTCCCTGTGTACACGATGAAGAATCTGGCCTCTCTCAGACAGGAAGACCTGCACTTAAGGCCCTTTTGTATCACTGCCAGTTCTATGAACATGTGAATCAGATGGTGAAACACTGCTACCTAGGATGTTATATGTTTGATTTGAATTCTTCTGAGGAAGACAACCTCATCATAGAAAGAGGTGGTATAACTGGTAAGTGATGTTAATGTAATGTTGTAGTATTTTAACCTACTTAAATAACTTTTAGTTTTAAGTAACTTACCTCAAATAATTCTTACTAAAAATAGAACTGAAAATGAATATATAAACCATGAACTTAAATATGTTGTTAAGTCAAAATACTGCTCTGAGGATTTAAGTAGATAAGTCACTAATTTAACATATCTCAGAAAAAGCTCTGAGCTGTTATTTACATCTTCAAAAAGTTACAGATGGAAAAGACGTAATTAGTTCTGCAGTATATTTTCTTGCAAAATATTGGGGGTAAAATACTTTTTACAGTTGTGACTTTATGACAGACCAGTACAATGAAAGTTTAGGAAAAAGAAATGTATAGGCTGTTTCTAAGACTCCTACTTCTGTTTCTTGAAGTATTCAACTTTAAAGATACGAGTGGGAGTAGACTCTACTATGGTGAAGTTAGCTGCATTCTAAGACATTCAGTTATAATTTATTTCATAGACTGATCAAATTTAATACTCAGATTGGATTGATTGTTTGTTTTTTTTTTTCTAACCTGTATACCCTTGGAGTATTTCAGGTCTAACTTTTGTATTGACTAATGATTTTCTGAACAATATTTCCAAGTCTTACTATGATGCATTGTGGGAACCCACATTCTTGTCCAAATATGTATTGTGATCTTAAGTTTAGAAAGCTAGGAAATTCTTCAGAGAGCTCAATTATTAAAAACTGTTCAAGGGGGAGAAAATTAGTGTGTTCATTCTTTTTAGTTTCTTTCTTCTCTGTGTGCCTAAGTTTCTGTATTTCCATCTTCCAAGGCTACAGATTTAAAAAATTCTTGTAGGTCTGCTTCTGTTAAAATTATGTTACAGAAGCATGAACAGAAGAGGAATGCTATTTCCCCTACCAAGTTATGACTTTATGACAGACCCAAGGAAAAAGAAATATTCTTGGTTAACTCAGAGTTATCAGAGAAGTACCTCAGCAGTATACAAAATTCCACCCATAAAAATCCTCAACTTCTTCTGTGGCTGCTTTATTTATCTATAGGTGTAATTTTTTCAGTCCAACACATTTCACTCCTCTCATTGTCCTCTTATTTGTGCCACCTGGTAGTTCTGTTAGCTGATGCAGTATCATATCTAAGAGCAGCTCAAACTCCAGGGTTGTAGAACTTTTCAGTGAGCAGTTGAGATATGTTTTATCAGGTCATTGAAAAGCAAAGCCAAAAAAAAAATGTTTTTCCAGGAGCTTTGAAATAAGGGGGAAGAATCATCTATGATATTTCAGGAACAAGGAACAAAATTTTTGTTTATTTAAAAAAGGAAGGACAGGACAATGTGCTTGAAAGACTTGTAAGTCCTTCATTCATATGTTCAGAATTGTGTTGTTTATCTATAATGACCTGTTTCTGCTTTTTAATAGGTCCCTTGTAATCTCTTAATAGAAGATCTTGCTTTGGTTTATCTTCCTGAAACTATTTTTGTCATTTTTTTCCCAATGTATTTTCCTCACATTTTTCAGGAATATAAAAAATCTCATCCACAAAGTTATATTAAAAATAAAATTGGTTAACTAAGTTTAGTCATTAGGTAAGATATGTACATGACTCCTACTTTTGTGGGTTTTGCACTCAGAATCTGTGTAATCTAGTGGTTTATTCTTTGTTGTTTTCTTTTTAAATATATGAAAGCCTCAAAACCTATTATTGACAGGTCTGTGCTATAAAATTTTTGGCACTTTTTATTCTGAAACAGATTTACAAAGTAATTCTGCCTTCATTATATTTATGAATATGGGTTCTCTTGAAACTGCTTCTCTTAAAATGCGAATTTGAAGTTTTTTGAAGACGAGGACATCTGTTCATTATGTTTGTGCTGTGAGACCCCAGTATCTTCAATACTTTTGTACTATTACATTTTAATAAAACTAAATCTGAGCTATTTCAAATGACTAAAGGCTATGCAACTGCAGTTTGAGCTAAGCGTAGCTTCTTCCAGACTATTTTATGTTGCAGCTGAAAATTTTATTTTATTTGATTTCTGTTTATTCAAGGAATTTGCTGGATAAGAATTCATAGGTACAATATGTGAAAACTTATATTCTGAGATCTTCAGAAGGATAACTGTGGTTGGCTGCTTTTCTCTTTTACCAAAACAATCCTTTGAAAAGCTTGTTATGCTCTCTGCTGTTCTTATAGTAATGAAGAAGAAAACTTTGTTTGTTTGATTTTGATTTTTATTCTTTTTTTCGTACAGATTTTGATGATTCTCTTAATCTTTGGAAGGCTCCATCCAGTCAAAGCCGATCTTCACATTCTCAGTCAACATCTGAAACTGTGGTAACTTACAGAATAATCTATTTATTTTAAATATAAAGTTGTTCAAGAAACCCTTTGAAGAAAATTAGCACACTTACAAATGCTAAAAAAACCCCCAACAAAACAAAACACAAAACAAAACTGAAATTAAACTGAAAATTAAGAAGCTGAAACTAAATTGAAATTTACTCTGAAGTAGCTTTAATATGCTAAAGAAAACTTTTACGATTATTTACCAGAGAAAAAATAAATTAAATAGCTTACCTTGACTAGTTAAATGCATAAGGCAGTGCTGAATTCTGTAGCTTCTCATAGCAAGACATATTCTCTAGAGATTACTTTGTAATTGGCTTTATTGATGAAATGCAGTCATCTCCATCTATAGTTGTCACTTCTGCTGCTTTTATCCAAACTGTCCTTTTAGAGTGAACCTATATTTACACTACACAGCTACAGAACTGGATCAACCAAAACCACAGTAGTACATTGGGTTAAAATTATATTCTGTGTCATAATAAACTCTGGATTCTGAAAATGCTTTTATAAAACAGAAAAGTGGCACAAGTGTTTGCAAGACCCAAAATAGACATAAAAAATATAAGAAAGCAGGTGGCTGCTTGAAAAATTTGTTTCTGGCTAGGATGATTACTGCAATGAAAGGCTGTAAACATATGCTGTCTTTCAAGATGGCAAATGCAGAGGAAGAGAAATTGAAATACATTCTTGCAGTTCCAGAGTAGATTTGCATATGAGATCAGGCTGTGGAGAAACCTTTTATAACATTCATTAGTTACCTGATAAAAATCATATATTTTCAATGACTGCAGCATAACTCCAAGAAAACTCTGACATGTTGCACTGAAATCCATTTTTATAATTCTATATTTTCTTCAAAAATTTTTGATTTATGAATAACCAGCTAGTGTAATATGGAAGCCATAATATCATAGCTCAGAAGTTTCTTTTCTGTTAAACAGATGTGCTGATATGGCAAAGACTGCTAAAGCACAACAAGATACTATCTTATTTTATTGACTAAAATTGTTATGCCCAGTTTTGCTATGGATCATGATAAAAATAAAAATGTAGAAAAGCCAGTATTGAAATTTTGTCTCAAAATATTTCACAATTATAATTTTTCCTTAGTGTTTTGACTGTCTGTTATAAATGTATTGCTGTTTAGTATTGTTAGCATTATCTGGAATGTTTTTAGTAATTGAGGAAAAAGTATACTCTAGTTTTAAGCTAAAATTTATCTTTTTCAGAAATTTTATTAATGCATTTGATTTTCATTTATCTAAAACAAAACAACCCCCCCCAAAAAAAAACCCTTAGGGTTATTTTAAACACAAATATTCAAATTTAAATATTTGAAACGAAAATAAATGAAAGTGCATGTAAATCAGGAAGTAGATGCTAACATGAATACTGTTTAAAAAAACATTTACATAAGAATCTCGGGTTGTTTGAAAGCAGTTGTTTCCAAATTGCTTTTTACTGAATAAATTGAGTGCCACTTTCTTATAGGAATAAAAGTTGAACAAATTTCATCTTGTTTTGTTCGTCTTACTTGAGGGAAAAATTAAATTTCAGCAATTCTTATCAGGATTGAGTGTCTGATCTGCTTAAAGTTGTGCTTGAGTTCTCATGAAGAGTTGAAAAGTTCATTACATGAAATTGCTTCAGCTTCAGTACCTTAAAAAAAGAAAAAAGGAAAAACTAATTTGGAATCTACTGGATCAAATTAATGTATTTTTATTTATATGTGTAAAGTAGCATCATAGTTTGACATAAAGGCATAGCTTTACAATTCCATTTAACAAATGGACAACTAATAAGTGGAAAGCACAGTGTAATACTAAGATACACTCATTTGTATCAGTCTTCGAGATGTTGTAGACTTCATATTTGCTACGATTATGCTCTTACAGCTAATGTAAGAGAGTTTTATTCCAGTTTGGTTTTTGTTTTGTTTTGTTTTCCTTCTTCCCCGATACATACAAAAATTTCACACAAAAACTTTGATAGTCATTTATAGAAGTTAATTTAATTTCCATTTGTCCTTCATGGATGTTTTTAGCAGCTGTAAACTCTTTTTTTATTAATTAAGTTTCTTACCTCTAAAAAAATACCAGTGCTGACATGACAGATGGTAAGTTTCCAAGCTGGAAGACAAGATGAGGTCTGATGTTCCAATGCCAGTATTAATTAGGAGAAGAAAGACAGAGGAAGGGAGCTGAGGCTAAATACAAACTGTATTTCAGAGGCAGTTAATGACTACTAAGTGTCTATCTAGTAAAGTTTGGAAGTACTTTTAAAAACTCAAACTTGTCCTGAAATCAGGCATTTGCAATTGAATCCTAATAACATTTTATGTTCCTACAGCTTGGCCCAAAGCTTTCCATTTTGATGTATGAGAAAAAGAAATACATTTATGAAGTCACTACCAAAAGTTTGTAGAAGTTTGTCTCTAAATTTTATATATTGATGGTACCAGGAAGATGTAGTTATTCCAAACCCACTAGATGGCAAGCTTACCCCATCAGAGTTGAAAGGGAGTCTGCAGATCCTACTGAAGGGAAATTTTTTTTTTTTTTTTTTTTGTGTATGGTACAGATGACAACAGCCACAAATAATTGAGAGTTACGAGCTATCAAACCAAGTAGAATTGTTTCTATCGGAAGCTCTTCTCTGATATTTTAATAACATTTTAAAAAAAAAAAAAGTTCATCTAAATATATCCATATCCATTCATTTCATGAATGTCAGTCTAGGAAGCTGAAACTGCTTTTTGCTTCAGTAAGCCACATCCTGAAGATCTTTGCAGAAGCAAAAGTGATATCTTTTTACTGAATTATATGACTTTCTTTTCTGTGAAGAGAAAAGGTCTGCTGGATTTTTTTTTTTTTTTAATATATTTGAAAACAGTTCTGACAAAAAGAAAAAGACGCTATTAGTTTTCCTGTTTTCAGATTTCATGTAATCAATACTTTAATTGAGCTATCTGCTATCAAAGGCTGATTTCACACAGGGCTCCTATAACCTTAAGTGAAAATAGTATCTAAATTACTTTTTGGCTTTAAAAGGTCTGCTGGATTTTTTTTTTTTTTTAATATATTTGAAAACAGTTCTGACAAAAAGAAAAAGACGCTATTAGTTTTCCTGTTTTCAGATTTCATGTAATCAATACTTTAATTGAGCTATCTGCTATCAAAGGCTGATTTCACACAGGGCTCCTATAACCTTAAGTGAAAATAGTATCTAAATTACTTTTTGGCTTTATCTTTTTTTCCCCATCCCCAAATTTGCAGAAAGTAAAATTGAGAAAATTAAAAAGCAAATATATTAATAATAGAAATTATTCTTTTTTTTTTACTTTAGTCTGTAAAATAGCCTGTCAGAGGTGTTGCAGAGGCCATAAGTACAATTTTGCCCATTTTGTAGAGTAAAGAATAGCGATGCAGGGATGAAATCAATGATTCAAGGTCATGTAAAAGACAGCAGCAGAGCTGGATTGTCTATACTCTGTTAACTCATATGCACTGTATTTAGTGTCTTTAAGATCTCAGTGGATTACAGATTTTTGTCAAATTTATCTTTATTTTTCTCTAAACTGGAATGTGGAAACTGCAAAAAATCCAATTCTGAGAAGATTAAAAACCTTTGTCTTTTATAGAATTCATAGTTTAAACATTCGCTTAGCTTATTATTACAGAGAACAAATCCTTATGATTTTAACCAACGTGTTTGTTTTGTGTTTAGTACGTATGACTGAGAACACAAATCAGCATGGAGATACCAACTTGTTTCACACTGCATAAATACACTAGGGCTGTTCTGTGCCCAGGACTGCTTAGCAAAATGAGCAGTTATTTAAAAAGTTGAGCTAAAAATGGTGCAGGTTAAAGATTTACAGACATTTCCCAGATAGCTTTAAATCATGCCCATTCTTTCCTATGAAATCTTCTTGCTATTTTATAAAAAAGTGTGCTTTATTTTCTGGAACCATGGTTACCAGAGTACTATACAGTTAAGTGATTTAAACCTTTGAAAAGAGAACTGAATAGAATTAATCACTGCAAGCCTATTAAAGCAATGCCAGAGGGATTTTTATACTAGAGGTTAAGACAAGACCTTTTATTCATATCTAGCAGATAAATGGCAAAACCTTCACATTTCTCCTAGTATTTCCACTCAGACAATTTTTGTATTCTTTTGTATTAGTTCTAATCTGCAGCCGTCATCTCCTCCCCCCCAACCCTTTCTTTCCCCTAATTAAACTCCCTTCCAAGGTCTGTTGTTTCACTGTTAAGCAACAGAATGCTTCATTGCTCCCAGAAAGAATGTGGTGGCAATAGTAAATATCCTTTACTAGATACAATGTCCCAGACCCCCAGTTCATCCTTATCAAAGGTGATTTATAAAAGTGGTAATATCTTTTCTTTCCTGGAAGGCGGAATATTGTATTGGAAACAACTTCATTGTGTTACTGTATGTTTTCTGTTAAGATAGCAGAAAATTTCTGGGTTTAACCCATGTTCCATGTGAAGCAATTATCAATGAATGTTCCATCAGTGCAGGGAGCTGATATATTTCTAACCAAATAGTTTTTCTTGATTTTTATGTTTTATTAGCATATCTAAGACCTTATTTTTATTACTTTGCCCAAAGTGTTTAGACAGTTTTAGAAGATGGAGAAAGAATTGTTGTGTGATGTAGAAGATATTTTTTACTAATATGTGGAAGCTTGTATAAATTCATAATAATATCTTTAAAATTACTCCCAGCATAGTCATAATTCCTTTTGGGGCTTTATTTGTTGCAGAAGAACCATATGGACTGTTAGAAGTTGCATTTTGGGTTTGTACTTTTTAGGAAAAAGAGTTATGGTTTTTGTCATTTATTAGAATGCTTGGAATTGAAAGTATAGTGCTGAATAAATGCAGAATTTACCGTGTGTCAAGATGGATGGATTTACTCTAATATAAATAATGGATTTTAATAATTATTTAAATCAGCAAGCATGAAACTTTAAATAATTTATTTCAATTGGCAAACATGGGTTTTATTTGTATAACTTAAACAGAATTTGAATTTCAATTGGTCGGTTCAATTTGCATTTTGCTAACAAGACAATTATTTAGCCAAGCATGTCCTAGTCTTTATGTGACCCAAGCTATATGTGAGTTGTGGGTTTCAGACATGCACCCCAAATCTTACTGTAGCTTGTCTTCTATGTTACAAATAACCTTCTGGCATTTTTGAGGAACAACTGAGCATGCTTGAGGAGAAAGACTTGAGACTGTAGGATGGACAGTAGTGGGAGACCAGAGGAAAACAGGGGAGAGAAGGAAGTTACAGCATGGAGGTGGCAGCCTTTAGCTCATGCAGAGACTCTGGTCTCAAGTAAAGATGTGCTGATAGAAGAAGCCTAACAATATTTGGAAGTGATGGGGGGTGGGAGGTGGGGTTAAACCTTCTAGGGGATGAGAAAAGACTAAGTAGAGAGATTCTATAGCTCAAAATGCTGCTAAGTAAACTAAAGCCAAACTTGGAAAGCAGTGACCTAACTGCAAGGATACAATAGCTAGGAAGGGAGTAATCTGTGATTTCCTCCCTCCACCCTTTTTGTCAACTAAGTCACTTTTGACTTTTCCTTAGGTAAAAAAAAATTCCAACTGATATTCTAATAAAACTTTAAAAAGAAAACCTCTGAAATATTTTAGTCTTTCTTAGAAAGCTCACGGTGAGAAAAAGTCTAATAACATCCTTCTTCAAGCTGTGACTGTCTTGGGATTTTATTGGATTCCCCAATGTTTTGTATTCTTTACACTGTATAGTGACACTCTTGAAGAAAATTTATCTGATGTGAATTGTCCAGCTAGTAAATAAAAAATAGAAATGAAAAAGTGACCTGACATGGGAGATGCTAATCATAGAATCATAGAATCATTAAGGTTGGAAAAGACCTCTAAGATCATCAAGTCCAACCGTCAACCCAACACCACCACGCCCACTAAACCATGTCCCTAAGTGCCTCATCTACACGTCTTTTAAATACTTCCAGGGATGGTGACTCAACCACTTCCCTAGGCAGCCTGTTCCAAGGCCTGACCACTCTTTCAGTAACAAAATTTTTCCTAATGTCCAGTCTAAACCTCCCTTGGCGCAACTTGAGGCCATTTCCTCTCGTCCTATTGCTTGTTACTTGGGAGAAGAGACCAACCCCCACCTCACTACAACCTCCTTTCAGGTAGTTGTAGAGCGCGATGAGGTCTCCCCTCAGCCTCCTCTTCTCCAGACTAAACAGTCCCAATTCCCTCAGCCGCTCCTCATAAGACTTGTGCTCTAGGCCCTTCACCAGCTTCGTTGCCCTTCTCTGGACACGTTCCAGCACCTCAATGTCCTTCTTGTAGTGAGGGGCCTGATCCCATACTCTGAAACAGGTCACAGGTCTTGTTGTGTCACAAAAGCATATTATTAAGCTGGATACTCTAGGTCTTCTGATCTCAAGCTTGTGGTTTTAAACACAGTAGCAAGAGCATTAGGAACTTTTGAAAGCATGCAAAATTAATAATATGGTAGATAATGTAGAATTGGTAGAAGGAGAATGGTAGTATGACAGTAAAATTATCTACTGTCATGTAAATATCTCATATCTTCACCATGAAATGAATACATGTAAGGATCACAGGACTAAGGTTAAGAGATGTACCCAGAGTTGGAAAGACTCTGGAACTTAAACTTTGGCTGATGACTAATGCGCTTGTGATATTTTTATCTGAGCGTGTCCTGGTACAAATGGACAAGTGCCGATGTTTTCGGTAAAGCAAATAGTCCATGAAAAATTTGAGTTTAAATGCTTCAGTAATGCCTTTCTATCTTTGTCCAAACATAGATTGAGTCAATTATATGGATGAAAAAGAAGGATGAAAAGGATGAATTTCCAGTAACATAGACATTGATCAGTTTTTAACTGAAATGTTTCAGGCTGTTCATATTGCACATCTGTCAATAGTTTCAATTATTGGATGTTTATAAATTATATATATACACACACATATAGTGAGCTAAATTTAATCAAACTGGTTTTGAACAGTAATTTTTACATCATTTTTGGTTTTGTGAGTTTGTTGGTTTTGGTGGGTTAGTGTTTTTGTTTTCTCCCCTTCCCCCCCCACCCCCCAATATAAATATTCTCTGCTCTATTAAAGCTGGAATCAACTAGTTTCCTTTTTATGTCTTTCTAGATTCAATCTGCATCACCATCACTGGGGAGTGTTACTGAGCTTCAGGCAATAGTCCCAACAAATTCAACCTGTTTTATTCCTGAAACTGTAGTTGATCGGCTTATGGCACAAGGTAAGTCAAACTTTGAGTTTGTGTACATAATGATGAATATGATGTATTAGGCTGCCCATATTCCAGTATTTGTACATGCATATAAAGCTTGCATATTGGTGGAACAATCACCATTGATGCTTGTAGTGGTTGTTTTGGAAGGCAAACATGAAACACTTCCTTTAAAATGAAATAGGATGAAATACATTTGACAGAAATAAGTGAAAATGGCTGATACTGCTTGAAATGTAACTCAAGACTTAGGTTCTATTCCTGTCATCCAGTCACCTTTTCAAAACATTCAATTTTGGTAAAGCTGTCATATACATACATGCACATGCACACACATGCGCACACACAAACAGATGTATATATAATTCTCTTTATATGTAGAAAGATAAAAATGTATATAATGCATAAAAATATATAAAATGATGTATGTGGAAAGAGATATCTACAAATATAAAGTATTTTCCTGTTAATGAAAGAAGTGAAAATTTATATCTTTCCAAATTTACCATTTATCTTTAAAGATTTTTAGTGCCTTGTAGAAGGAACATTCTATTTCAGGACTATTTTAAATAACACTTTTCCTGTATGTGATTTCTTGCTTTTCCCCCCACCCCCGCCCTCCTCGTTCCAGAATATACTGTTTTAAATGTAGAGGGAAGTTGGATATTTTATGAAAAAGATGGATATTTTATGAAACAGAAACAGCAAATTGTTTTATGTAACTGCTCTAATTAAACTTTTGTGTTTTTTCTTTTTCTTTGTTTTATTAAACACATTCTAGGTCAAAGTGATACAACCACAACAGAATCTCCAAGTCAACATGCTTCTCCCGTGTCTGCTACTCTGTGTAAACAGCGTGCTGTAGTCACACCTGCCCTTTTGTCAGCTGTTTGCAGCCTTCTGCACAATCTGCTTGTTGTCACACCAAAAGACACTGGAATTGCTCTTCAACAAGCACATTTGCTAACAGCTCTCAGCAGGTATGAGATCAATAACTGCTGAACTGCAAACAAGGTGTAGCAATAGAGGTGAAAAGATTGAAATGAGATCTACCAGTGTTTCTTACCAAAACTGTTAAATACATTGATCACTTCTTGCTTCTGAAGTGTTCAAAAATGCCTTTTTAAAAAAATACAATCAACAAAAGAAAGGAATTTGGTTTATTTCTTTTTTTCACAGAAAAGGTAGTCATATTGGTGATTCCATTTGTGGTATCTGTCTTCTACAGGACTACTGTGTTTCTCTGGTAATGTTTTAGGTTTTTGTCTAGATGGCCATTTAGTCATCCTTTGGAGGGGTAATTTCTTAATTTTTTTTTTTTTTTTTTTAGTAGAAAGGTACACGGTATAGTCAGGTATTCAGAATTGCAGATTACTTCAGTTCATTTTATGACTTTCTTCTTTGAATTGTATGCAATATTTTGAGGATGAGCCAAGGGCTGTCGCACTAAAAGAGAGTAAATGAGTAAATAATGCTTGCCAGATTTGGGAAAGTATTGGATGATAGACCCTAGTGTTTTGTTTATTTTTTAAAGAAGGAACCACTTCAAAATAATCTTCAGATTGTATGCCATGTTTCCACTTGCATTGTAACAAATTCTTTCATCTGTTTGGAAGTCCTGAAGTGAAGCATGAAAATGAGTTCATTTTTTTTTAAGGTTTTCAAGAGCTTTTGTAGTTGCTCTTCATACTGCAATTAATAAAAAAAAAAAACAACCAAACTTGTTTGAATACAGTTTATATTGTTACAGAGCTGTTTATTCTTCTACAGGACAGAAAGTAAGCAATCAAATATAAAGAAACAATTTTTCCAGTGCAGTCACAGCTATTGGAATTTATGTTAGTCTAACTATTTTGAAACAACTTACTGCTACTATAGTTGCCATTGCACTAGACTTACTGCTAAACCCCACTATTTTAAGAAAGTTCATAATTTATTTTTACTCTGTTTATTTAAAATGTTCTTTTCTATAGAATATTAATTTAGTAGAATGTTTACTTATTTAAGTATATTCCTAACCAATTTACTTGATTTTATTTTAGTCTTGTAAGTGCTAAGCTGGTTGAGAGATGTGTCTTGGAACTGAAAACTCCATTGGGTCATCCATGTCATATAGAACATGTAAAATCTCAGGTTAGAGAAGCATTTGTTACTTTCTAATTTTTATAAATTATGAAATTAATTATGTTTGCATAATCTATATTCATTAATATAGTCTAGACATGCTGCTATAGGCTACATTCATGTGAATCTCTGTGCTTTTGACAAGGTTTAAGAGAAATAAACAGTGTTATATTCAACACAACAATTAATTTCTGTGTTAAAACTATACCTAGAACCATCAAATGAAAAACCAATTGTGTTTTAAAAATACAAATTGAGCTTAGCAGTTACAGAAATCATGTAATAGAATTTCTTTGTATGGTATTGAAGTATGAGCAAGATACAGTTACTGACACATTTCATATTTATTTTCTGCAGCACACCTGACTGCTTTGCTTTGTCTCCAATCCTGCAGACACTTAGATAGTTCTCAACTAATTTTGATGTATGCAAAGCATATAGGGTTACTGCCAATGGAACTACTTTTGTATCAAATTTAACTCTGTATATATATTATATAGAACATACTATGCTCATGGCACAGCACCATTTTAAAGCTTCTGCTGCTCTGCATTCAGATTTACTTTGAAGAAAGATACCCAGGTTATTAAGAAAATGTATTTCTGCAGAAATCTTTTGAGAATAAATAAATATGTCAGGAATAATTTTTTTCCTAAAGCCTCAAATTAAGCTTGTGTTTTCAGGAAATACACTTATATTCATCAATATTAATGACCATTTTTGTGTTTTCCTTTGTGAGCTTCCAGAGATGATGCTGCACATAAAACAGGAGTCATGACTTTCTCACAAGGAACTTTATTCTTTGTCACTAGAAAATTGATTTCACATATATGTTTCCAGACCTGGAATTCTGTTTCATCTTCTACAATAAAAATTAGGAGAACAATTTTTAATTTATATCCTATTATTTCTTTTAAGTGGTGTATGTTAATTCAAAATGTTATGAATAAGTTGAGGTAATGTGAGTATTTAAATTAAAAAAAAAATGTGGAAGGTACAAATATATAGCTTTATTTCATATCTTTTTAAAAATATTTAACAGGTGTTATTACTACTTCAGTACTTGTCATCTGTGTCCAGGCTTCTGAAATCATGTTTGTTGGTGGACTCTCAGCTTGTAATCCAGGATGAACTGTTGAAACCTCTCTTGGGAAATACCTTCATGATTCTTGCCATTCGCTCCAAAGATGGGTTAGGTAATGAAGTACTTTGTTTCCAGTATAGCCAGACAGAGGCAGTTATTTATTTATGTACCACCTTCATTTAAATTGACAGTTGTTGTCAGGCTTAGCTATCCAGATTTGTGCACATGTGTAAATGGCTTGATTTTTTTCTGTATTATCTTTGCAGATACCGAGTTAACATCTGTACTTCATGAAACATGGGTAGACTTTTTTAACCTTCTATCTACATTACTGTGGAAGAGTGGCCAAATATCTTTTCCAGCTGTGACAGCAGCCCTTGCAAATCGTTGTACAGCAATAATTGGTAATAACTATTCCCAGATGGGTTTTAACCTAGCAACTAATAAAATAAATAAACAAATAGAAAAGAGATTTAGATCCTATTAAGTAATTACCAATGGCATATCCAGAATGAAAACTAAATGTCCCCAGAGCTTGACTGACTTTTTCTTTAATTGGATTTTTATAACTTACTTATATCAGCAGACTAACTTTTGAACTGCCAGATAAATTCACAAGTTTTGTTTGCATATATGGGTTAGTGATTTTAGTTGTAAACCTTAACCAAATATGGCACCTTTGAGTAGAGCCTGAAATGATCCATTAGTGCTTCATTTTTTTTCCTTATATGTTGTGTTGGTTTTTTTTTTTATATATCTTATATAAAAGGAAGGCAAAGTTTTGAGGGGAGATAAGAGATGTAGGAATTCAAGATTATTATGCATGATTTTGGTTGGGTTTTTTTTAATTATTCCTTTATTAGTTACTTGCATAGTCAGGGCTCTAGGTCACCAAGATTCTCTGATTTCAGCCAGGTGTGTTAAGTGATCTGGTGAATCCAAATCCAATTGCACATAAAGTAGCTAATGGGTACTGTTGGTATTATAATGTAAGCATTTGAATAAAGTGAGGAGAGTTCAGAAAATTGTTGATCAAATTGAGTGATTTAGCAAATGCAAATTGCTTTTTTTGTTTTATAGTCAAATTAACGCAGAGCAATTAATTCATTCAAACATATAAAACTCAAACTTTTCTTTCTTAGATTTTTAAAGACTTATCAAATGCGTAGAATTTGTAGAATTCTTTGTGCAGTGCACAGGTATAACTGCTTCTTGGCCCACACACTTTCTTTGATAAGTCTTTCTGAGTTCCAAAGCACTTAAGCTTTATTCAGAATGAAATATAAAAATTTTTATTTTTCTGTTTAACCTTTCAGATACCATTTGTGATTGCATTCATCTGTCAACCACATATCCTGCTTTATATATGGCTAGTTTACAGTTCCTCTCTGTCCTTTTGAATGAGGAAGGAAGAAGACAGCTCCAAGATAAACAGAATATATGTCAGAATCCAACTGTTAGCTTTCTTCTGGATCACGTTGAAGGATGCCAGGCATCAGTAACTCAACTTACTGCATTAATTATTCAGGTATTTAAAATTTGATGATGTGATTGCAGGATATATTTTTGCATTTTTGTGTTTTGTTAAAAAGGAGTGTATTTACCTAATGAAAAATCAGTTGTTTCCAATTATGAACCAAGACATCTTTAATCTGAGACATCTATTTAACTCATTTTTGAAATTCATGTAATAAACTGGAATTGCAAAGAAGCAACTTCTAGGAAGTGCCTTGCAAGGCAATTATGCTGCAACAGCATGGTATGAAATCTTATGTGGAGAAGATGATACATAGATAGAATATGGCCAAATACTGGTACCCTTTTTTTTTTTTTTTCTTCTGCTTTTCCAAACATGTAATGAGATTTTTAAGGTTCGAGACGTAGTTATTCCCATTGTAAATGACAGCATTGTTGTTCTTAACAGCTGCCTTCATAGAAATTGTGAATGAAAATGAATCATTAAGCCTTCTAGTTCATTCCCTGATACTGTAAGATCGGTGTTGTTGCACTTAAGGAGCATATATTAATGCATTTTCCAAGCTTTCCAAGTTTTAAATTGGCAGGTAGCGTATTTTTAGTAATTCTTTTAGGAACTTGTTGCCCGACATAATGTATATTGGTGACAAGATGGGGTTTTTTTTCTAGATACTTATTCTGAATGTTCTGTCTTTCTTAATGTAATCTCATTATTCTTATTTATACTTTTATATACTGTGCTAAATGATTCTTTTACCTTCTTTATATTTACATCCGTCACTTATTTACAGACTGTTAAAATATCTTCTGTTACTTAGTAATAAGAAAAGTTATATGTGAAATTCGTGTCTAATTTATTTTCTCTCATAAATTGGTTCTTTTATCTGTATACTTATTGTCCTCCTTTAAATTATGTGCAGTTTGTCACTGTAACAATAATAGTGATCCATGATTAGAAGTGTAGTGTTTGAAAGATGCACATTTCATATAACATAATGTAGCTTATGATTTCTGATGTTCTGGAGTCAATGTCTTGTCATTTTTTTTTTTTAATAAGAATCATATTTAGTACTATTTTGCTATGTAAAACATTATTTTTTCAACATGTATTAGAATGCACATTTCAATTAGAAAAAATAATGAAACACTTCAATGCAGACAGACTATAAACATGAATAGAGAGAGAGAGAACTCTGGATAGGAATATATTAATGAATCATCCAAATGAAAATATAGACTATGAAAACATATTTATAGATATGAATACTACTTTTAATATGGTCATTTTTTCATTTCAGTAATGAAATTGCATTATTTGTAGGTCTGTGAAAGAAAATCTTCAAAGGATGTGCTGAAAGAAGTTGCTACAAATGCATTGCTGTCTCTGTTAGCTGTCAGTAAAAATGCCCAGAAATGTGCTTTGGAAGGTGAGCATTTAAAAATGTATGTTAAATGATTTATGAATCAAATGCTTGCAGGTGTTTTACATGTTTTTTTAAATCATCATGGTTTTTGTCAAAACAAAAGACCTAGTTTTCAGTGGCATTTCTTGCAGATTTTTACAGGGAAAGCTTATTAATAATTAAAGTTTTCAGCTGCGGACGAAATATTATGTTGTAGCCAGTCTAAAAATTTGTGGTGAAATCACAGCTCTGTGTTAGAGGGAGAAGAGACCTGTGAGCTTTCACTGCTAGTGGCATATACATCCGTTTGAAACTGGAGATTTTGCGCTGGCAGTATTTTCCATTTCTTGTTTCACACTATGCCAATACAGGTTTGTAGGTGAAGTATGCCCTGTGTTCTCAGTTCTGGCTGTACCTAGACAAGGAGAGACTTCTTTTTCTCTGCTTTGTTCTTCCCTGCCTCTCTGTTTCTTTCTTCCCATTTTACAGTTTAAGTAGGACCTTCTCCCCTTGCAATGCAACATCTTTCATGCTTAAGGTTTTTACTTTACAGTAGTAAAACAAAAGTAAAAAACCTCTAATCAAAGGCTTTTTGTGCCCACTAGAACACAGGGGAGACTGGTTAATTTGCATTTCTCATGTATCATGCGTTTAATACCTGCTGATCAGCCCAAGTGCACTTTATTTTGGGTGCCTTCTCATTACTTGCATCTCTGTTGGTTTGTTCGGTCCTTTAAACCTACACTACACTGAAATAGATAGCGTGGATTTATCTGCTCGATGTCTGATCCCAATAGTGGCAGAAAACTCCAAACTTGAAATCCTATGCTATACACCTACTTTCTTTTTCCTGGTGTATTGGTGCTACTCAGCCCTTGCTTCGATCACTGTTCTTCTTCTGTTGATGACACACTAAATCATCTAAGACCTGACTTCCTGTGAAGGCACTACCAGTGCATGAAGTGCATCACGTTCTGTGCTAAAGCAGCCTTCAAGTCATCCTTGCTGTGATGCAACGCAAATCTTAGAGAAGAGTAAGAGGAGTTCTGGGGTTCAAATCAATGTCCTGAAGATATCTGTAGCTCTAACATCACTTGTTCAGCTCTTAAGGACTACTTTTTGAGATACAAATGCAAAGTCCTGCACATGGAAAGGAACAACAACCTTGCAGCAGTACAGGCTGACTGGAGAGCTGAAAAGGACCTTGAGGTCTTGGTAGGCAGCAAGCTGAATGTGAGAAGATTAACAGCATCCTGAGCTGTATTAACAGGAACACAGCCAGTAGATCGAGGGGAAAGGATTATCTTTCCTCTACTTAGCACTTGTTAGACCAAATCTAGAATAATGCATCCAGTTTTGGCCCAGTACAAGAAAGTCATCAACAAACTGGAGCAATTTCAGCAGAGGGCCACCAAGGTGATTGTGTCCTCCTGTCCTTAGGGGAGAGGCTGAGGGAACTGGCCTTGTTCAACCTGGAGAAAAGAAGGTTTCAGGAGGACCAAATAGCAACCTTGTCATACATATGAGGTTTTGAAGAAGGCAGAGCCAGGTTTTTCACAGCAGTGCATGGTGTAGGAGGATGAGAGAGAATGGGCATGAATTGAAACATGAGAGTCAGACTGGCTGTAAAAAAACCATTTCCCATTTGAAGGCAGTCAAACAGTGGCTAGGCATACTGTGCAGCCTCTGTCTTCGGACATTTTCAAGACCCAACTGGATAAGGCCGCAGGTAAACCTTGCCTTACAGCTGACTCTGCTTTGAGCAGGAGGTTGGACTATATGACCTCTGGAGGCCATCTCTTCCAACTTGAATTATCCCATGAGCCTGTGATCTTGTAATAAAGACTCTAGATCCCAAGAAAAGAGCCTAACTCAACATTTTGCACTTTGAGTCACCTGAACATTTGCTTTCCTTTGTCTCACCTCAGATGCAAGCAAATCTGCTGTGTTAGGGAAGAGTTGCGTAAGATAAATGCATGCCCTAACTTCTTGAAGCTTCAGTCTTCTAGGCAGTGTCATTGAAGTTATCCTGAAGAGTTATGAGTTGCTATCCTCTTCCTCCCAAATCATCCTCCCCTCTTCATCTTATTAGTCCTTCCTTTGGGTATTCCTCTCACAGGACTCTGTTGCAAGATGACTCAAATGTATTCTTGCTTCTCGAGATCATTCAACTAGATGCACTCCATCTTGGAGACTGTTAGTTACTTCCTGATATCAAGAAAATAACAATATATTATGAACTCATGGAATTTGGACACCTGAATCCTTAAATCTCAGTTCAGGAGGGTAACAGTAATCAAGATCATTGCAAGAAAGATATTTAATATTTCATAAAATGTTTTTGTTTGTGAATGAACTTCTAAATGTTAATATTTTTTTGTCTTCCAGTTGGTCTGATAGACAGCTGTATAGAAAACATGAAACATATACATGCACAGCTGAATTTGGATTCCTTAAAGCCTGGGAAAGCACATAAAAAAAAGGTAACCAAAAGACCGATATGATAAGGCACTTCCCAGCTCTTTTTTTGTTTTGTTTTGTTTTTTTCTTGAAGCGGATACTGTTGGTATCTGTCATGGGTGAGTCTGAGTAAATGACAACTTGTAGTGGATCTGGATACCGGGGCTTCTTTAAGATTCAATGATTTTAGAGTTTTTACCCACTTGATTATCTCACACACTTACTCTCTCACCCAGAGTTATGTTCACCTGGTCTCAACTTCCTTTTCCAACATGGAGATGACTGCTGGTTCAGGAAAGTCAGGCAGAAAATCACATCAGTTTGTGCTTTGCAGCTGCTCAGTTACCAGTCTTGAGTGTTACTGGCCAAAGCCCCTGGGCATGAGCTGGTGTTTGTCTCCATGCATCTCTCTGGTCTCCAGGATCTTCTCCCACTTACAGGATTGTTCCTTCAGCCAGGATCTTCACATTCTTCATTTTGGGCCCATTTAGAATCATAGAATCATAGAATC